TCTGTTCGATGGACTTTGCCATCGCTCTGTGTGTGTGTGTGAGTGTGAGAGAGAGAGAGAGAGAAAATGTGGCTGAGTCGGTTGCTCAGCACTCTAACTGTAACTTGACCTCTGGTTTTTCTGGTTGCTACAGCTCTGCAGCAACCGTCCATCCACAGATTCTCTCGCTTTCACATTTAGAAATTTCTGCTTGGTACGGGAACAATTACAAAAGCAGCACGAGAATTTCCTCCATTCATACCCACACATACCTCGTATGCAAATGAATAACAGGATTATTTGCTGTTTATTTCTGCACACAGATGCAGCAGCGGTGCAGTCGGTTATTAATCACACAGGCAAACAGTGGCAAGACAAACACAGCCCATCCATCAGCATAGTAATTATCACTGTGTGTCGCACTCACACTCACACACACACACACACACACACACACAGAGTGAAGTTATGGGCTGCCTGTGAGCCGTTTCCCGAGGAGGGATGTGGAAGCGCTCTTGTTTTCACAGCGTCTTTGAACTCATCCTCCCACTGAGCTGCTGTCAGGGAAACTTGCTCGTTAATGATATTTAGCGGTTATCGCAGCAGATAGTGTTTGAAATGTGTCAGAAACTTGACTTTTAGCTTCTGGTTCACAAGTCTGGATCGTGTTTAAGACTTCATTCTGAACAGAAACAGTGAATGAAGCAGGGATTCGAAGAGACGAGCTCACAGATACAGAGTCTGTGTGAACATTCAGCCTGACGGAGGATTGTATAACCCGAATATTAAAGGAAAACCTGCATCTCTCCACACTAACTGTTGATTCATTTCAGCCACTGGTTCCCAACATTATTCCTTAAGATTTAAAAACTGTACAAAGAAACAGTGAACTCAGTAACTGCAGGAAGTTTGTGTAAAGTGTGGATGAATTTGAGCAGATTATTTCCTGTTTAGGGAACGTTTTATATAATCCTCTGTTTTATGTATTTTTCATTATTTTTAACAATCATACAGACCTAATAGGCTTCTTTTTTGTCAAATTCAGAACCACAACTGTACTTGATATACCGTTGCTCCCTGAATACACAACCATAGAAATACCGTACATATATTCGTTATCTGTGCCTACAAAGTCCCGTTCCCTTCCTGCCTCACCAATCTTCTGAACTCGTCTCATCCTTCCAGATCATGGTTTTACTTCAGTGTTCGGGGTGCAGCTCCTGGGACTGTGGTTCCCACCATTTTTCCTTTATCATTTGATAAACTGATGATCCCTAAGTGATTTTATGTACATATTATATTTAATGTGCTCTCTTCAGACATGGTTTGGGTTTACGTTTGGGATGCATGATTTCAAAAGGTGTGACAGTGTCGTACTGACAGACATTTTTCTACTTTAAAGTGAACTGAATCAGATGTGAATGATAGTATATGTAATTACACACATTACACAC